CCCCTTTTTCCAAAAGCATGAAATTTGCCTTTTTAGTGGGATTACAAAAGATGAATATTCTTTAATCATAATATACATAAATGCCAGGATGCTAAACTGTTCAAAGGTGTGATAGCTAATGTTTACTTTCAGTTTTCTTAATTATTACCTTTTTAAGTGTCCTGTCAGCAAGGTACTTAGGTGCCTAATTTTAATCCTATAAATAGTCCCCTTTACTTTAGCAGGGCTGAATGAAAGCCCTAAAACCCAGCTTTTTGTTGTACAGTAATAAAAATTTGATCTGTCTTTTGATACATATTCTATGTAAGGAAAAAAGTAATTTTTAATACATTAAAGTGTGTGTGGGGGGGAGTAGCTATGATCTTCACTACTCATAAACTACTTTTTGTAGCTGGCTGTCTTTTATTTTAATAGTTTTCAGTTTTTTAAAAAGGGGAAGGGGTTTGTAGTGCTGTGTCAAGGGGTAAGCCCCCGTCCAGGGGCTCGGCCCCCTCCGACCGGGCCTATACGGTACTCCAGAATCCCTAGGCCAAGGCCCCGGCCCTTCTATTAGGGTATGTACGGTAGCAGAGTCTCAACACGAAAGTCTCGGCCCCTCTATCAGGGCATATATGGTAACAAAGTCCCAACACAAAAGTCCCGGCCCTTCTATCCGGGCAGATACGGTAGCAGAGGCTCAACACAAAAGTCTCGGCCCTTCTATCAGGGCATATACGGTAGCAGAGGCCTAGTTGCTCTGCGAAGCCTCCCCTGGCCCGGGGTTTGTTTGTCCAGGGAAGGGGAAAACGGGTGGTAGGGGGACCCGGGCCCTCCCTCTCCACCGGGTCCCAGCCCAGGGCCCTTTAGGCAGGGTCTATGGCTCCTGCCGGCTTGGCGGGGGATCCGGCCGATACACGCCAAGCCAAACTTTGTATCCCTTGCCCTGGGCTGCTTCCTCTGGTGGGGGTGGGGGGCCCCCCCCTGCCACTCTGGGCCGGCGGCTGCTTTCTCCGTGTCCCGGTTCAGCGCGGGCGACGACTCTGGACCCAGCAACTGCAAGAACTCCGGTCTGGCCTGGTCTCCTCCTTCTCCCTGGGGCCTTCCCGCCTGCTGGGCTCCTCCTGCCTTTATACCCGGCCGCTGTTGGGAGCATGCCCAGCAGGGTCGGAGGGGCGGGGCCTTCTCTGCCAGCTGGGCCTGGGCTATCTCCTGCTC